AAAAAAACAATAATTTTAAGTCCTGGGATGGTGATCCAAATAGGTCTACATACAATTAGGACAAATGAACCGCAGCTTTTCTTGCTTGGTTAGACTCTAGGCGCTCTAAAACACATCACTTAAGTAATAATTTGACACATTCTTTTTAAAAAACACTGTGATGTGAGGCCAATTGAACATTTTTCATGTGGCCTTATTAAGAACATGTTACATTGATAAAAAAAAAGTCTGTTACTAGAAATCTAGCAAAGATATTATTCTGTACTTACTCTGTAGATTTCTCAATACATAAATGTCCGTGTAAAAGTTACATTCGCTCCATTCACTTTATGAACATGTGTATAAACTAATTAAGTTCCAGCCTCAAAGTTATAACGTGACATATGAAATCTGTGGTTGGCCATTTTTCGACATATAACGAGTGGCTAAAAATCCTCGCAATAATTTTTGATTTGCATTATAGATATCTTTTTTAATAATATTGTAATTTTTGAAGATGGGATTCAATATTAAGCAATAAGGGGCACTGGCCTTATTAGGTACATGGCCTCATTTGGGTCAGGTACCTTATATCTCCTGACCATTTAACCCAATTTTGATTTCATACAGGTGTAAATTGATTTTATTGAATTTCTTTTCTTTTTAAGCAGAAGCTGATCATATTTATCAATACAATTTCCAATCAATATTTATTTTTTTTTAAATTAGTTTTCTGGAAACTTAAATCTGTTATATTTTCATTTCATGATAATGATATGGCCAGCGACTGTTGATGAACTTATATGGAAACTATATTGAGGCACATTGTAGGTTATAGGTATTATTATTTTCGAGTTCACCAAAAACATTTTGCGTACGAGTTGCAAACTAGTATATTTCCTAATAAGTGCGCAATGTCAGTCTTGTTCGTACGCTGACTGCAGTTGACCGAACGACGCGGAGCGGAGTTTTTGGCAGCAGTCGACTGCGAACAAGACACTTTGCGCAAGAGTCAGGAACAGTATTTTTTCTACGAGCGAGAATTTTATAAAAAATAAAAAATGAGACAATAAACTTAAAGAAAAAAATCAAAACAAAATACTCACAAAAAAACAACCAAAAACTAATTATTTCATTTGATTATTGTGAACGATATTGAGACATTTTTCGGACGACCTTTGGGATGTCAGACTATTGCAGGCATTAGCGGCTCTATCTAAAATATTTTGTATTTCCTCGTTCTCTTCTGCTGCAATGTTTCCCATTTTTTTGTGAGTATCCAGGCTTAGGCTCACGATATAGGGACCGGGCACAAATTGAAATCCGCGACCCCTAGTGGCAGTTTTCATAAGAATTTGTATAATAAACAATTGCACTTTTGACAAAAGGCCAATATTTTCTAACCTATGGACGAGACTATTTTTTTATTTTGTTTATTAGTCACTCGTATTTCAAAAAATGGAGTTGGAAATAAATATTTCTTTCTAAAATATAGAATGTATCCACCACGAAGCTGAAAACTGAATAGTTAGGGGTCAAATAAAGAATCAGTCTTGCCGTTCAATTTGAGATTGCGCAAGGAAGTTGCTGAACATGACGGAACGGAACGTCTACCCCAGCCTTAAGACTGTATTGGGTTTCTGTCAAAATGCCAATTGTTTATTATACAAATTCTTTTGAAAATTGCCTCTAGGGGAATTTGTGACCGGGCGGCGCCTATAGTTAAAATAATGAACGATGATAAATAAGGCATTCCAACGATCTGTCAAAAATGGCGTTTGTCAAAAGTTAGCCAGGGCAGGCAAATCTTAAAGTGCGCGAAAATATTGGTATAAAATGCCTGCATTTTGTTGTGTAGTGAAATGTAGTAGTAGGGGAGAACGCGACAACGTTAAATTTATAAAATACCATCTGAACTGAATCGAAAACATCCTGATAAAGTTGAACAAACCAATTAGAAGACAACTTTGGTTAAATGCAATCATCAAACGTGAAGATTTAACTGGCAGTGAGTTAAAATATGCTGTAGTTTGTTCGAGATATATGTATATTAGTACTTATTATTAAATCTTAATACTTAGAGCAACTATTATTATTAACAAATCTATATATATAAAACACAGTTGTGTTTTGTGGAAGCACTTATAACTCGAGAACGGCTGGACTGATTTTTATGATTTTTGCTTTATTAGATTTGTCTTTGTCTATCCTAACATAATAAATCGAAAAAATGCAAAAAAAAAAACAAAACAAAAAAATTACCTTTTTTTACTTATTTATGAAAAAAAATTAATAAGCCCGCATACGGCGCCATCTCTTATAACCGATACCAAGTTTACCGTCACATTTCCATTGCAAACAATTTGGATTTTATTGTCACAGACTTTGCACAAAAACAATTTAAGGAAAGCACTTTACTTTCAATTGTTCTTCACAATAAAAATTTCCAAAAATAAATAGAATTACAATGTTTTAATTGTGTATTTTATTTTGTTGTTGGTCCCTTCCGAAAGAGCGCGAACTGGTCTTCCTGTCATTTCTTGACGCTTGACCATTGACGTTCTGTGGCTAAGTTCCGTTTCTCCTCTCAGGCATCTCTTGACAGCCGTGTTCCGTGCCGACTGTTCGGAGTGCTCCGTCCGGCTGGTGTCGAGTGGCAGAGAGCCACGTTATGAGTCCGCCACAACCATTTTGTATACGATACGGCGCCATATATGATACCTAGAACGAAGCTCACCGATGCGCGGTAATTTCATTGTAGATGCAGTAGAACCATGCTGCTCAGGAACTGGAGATATTTAGAACAGAACTATTCCACCATTCTGATCAGATAGAGTGGTGCAGAAAGAGTAGATCAGATAGAATAGTGCAGATAGAGTAGAACAGATGGAGTAGTGCAGTGCAGATAGAGTGATAAGGGCTGCGCTGTAGATTTTTTTCTGTTTTCTTTACATTCTTTGAACATTCCTGTGCCTGAGTTTATTTATTTGGTGGTACACTTTACAAGAAAAATGCCCACAAGCTGCCTTGAAAGGAATGATGTAAAATTTTAATTTTAGGTGACTTCTGATCTAGAGAGTAAACATTAATATTCTTCAACCAAATTCACCATCGAAAAAAACTGAATTTAATTCAGCTAATAGATACGTTAACACAACATTTAATAGGTATTTAATAATTCAGAGGCGGTACGAAGTTCTCCGGGTCAGCTAGTGTATAATAATGACGCATGTTCGACTGTGTCCAGAACTGTGTGACACTTATTTGACACAAACGAATAGGGTACTTGCATGGAAAATTAAATTGATTATTTCATTCATTATACAATAAACCAATCAGACAACGTCATTTTTTGAATAAATTTCGTTTAAATAAGTGATTATTTCACAAGACGTGTTTACCAGCGATTAAATGTTTGTTTACCTTTTTTGACAGAATGTTGACAGAAATATTCTGACTATTTATAATAAAAAATAGAACTTTCTGTTGTTGGCTTCAATCCTAATTATTCAGGAAATAATCTAGCCGTATACCACTCGACCTATAAATTTAAATGGATTAAACTATCGAAATATTTTTCGCACAACTTTGCTTTTTGGCAAATAGTTTCATGCACAATAACACAAAAACCTTACTTTTTTTTATTTCGCCCAAATATAATTATTCCGGAAGTTATACGAATATTAAGTTTTGTAGATATAGATAGATGAGCATGTGCGACGTCACTAATTTATATAATAAGTGACGTCATAGGCATATTCCATAGCGTTGTATCTCCGTCAATTTTTGACTAAGAAGAAAAAGAAAAAACACCTGTTGACTTATTTTTCATGGACTATCGGAATCAGCAATAAAAAAAATTTGATGCAAGGGGCCTATTGTGTGCCCTGATTGATTTTTTTTTATTGGAATGCCCTATTAATTTGTTTGACACTAACGTGACAGACCTATAAACACTGGCGGCAAATTTCATGCAATCATAAGGCCTGTTTCCACAGAAATTACAAACCAGTAAGAGCGAATTTCATTCGGTAAAAATAGTCAGAAAACTGGTTGTTGGAGATTTGAACCAATCAAAAACGCTCTGACTGGCTTGTGATTTCTATGGAAACAGGCCTTTTAACGGTACAAAAGGTGAATTTTAATTATTTTTGGTTTCCTATCAAGTATTTGTTACCTGACTCAATGCGCGAACTAGGCATTTCGCACACTGGAGAATCATTTCGCGTACGTCATGAGAACGTTATCTACTTGGAAAAAAAAATTTCTCTTCGTAAATTGTCACCAGTGTGCAAACCAATGAACTATAACCAAAAACTGGAATGCTAACACATAAGAAAGAACGTGAAGCCTAGTGCAGCTGCTGCGGAAGGGATACCTGTTTTTGTCGCACTCATTATGTTAAATGGCGAAAATTGCTTCCAACACGTATTCCAATTGATGAAACCTGTGAAGGAAAATATGACAAAACTTTCGAAAACGTCATATGTCAGCGAGCAACAGAAAAAAACAACATTCCCCCTTGTGGCATCTGTCTTTCATGGCTTCATTTTTTGGGCAGATATGGCAATATGCGCGCATTCCAGTTTTTGGCTATAGTTCATTGGTGCAAACATCGTCTTTCTTTGACAGTTGTAGAAAATAGCTATTTTCCTAACGATTGCGAGAAGAGAAATTTCCGGCACGAGGGTGCGAAGCAAATAGTGCGGGAAGAGCCATTTTCCGCACACTCGTAGGAAAATAACTGTTTCCATGAAAAATTGATTAACCAAAAACCTACAATTTTCTATACTATTTGCGAATCCAACCAAAAAATATTTAAAAATCTCTAGATTATACACGCAAAAATGGGTATACTACGGATTCGAGCAGATTGGAAACTGTTGGTGCCTTTCTTTATTCCAACCCAAAATCGAAAATATATCATATATCTACATAATATGGAAACTTTATAAATGCTTTATTTTAGAAAGTAGGTACTATTTTCTTTTACTGCTATATTATATAAACTCGCTACTTACGCTCCTACTAAGGCCTTTGGCGGTATCACTTGATGATATTCTAAATTTGTTAAATTTGATAAGTCTACGACCCAAAGTTGAACTTGAGGTATTGGAGTGCCAGGCTGAAATAAAACAAACAAAAGAATCGATTAAACAGAAATAATAGTTATTTATGTATCAAGGAAATTATGAGGGTGTTAATACCCCAGGACAAAGTTTGCCCTTGGGTGCCCAATTGCCCGTGGGTATTAACATCTGATAATTTCCGTGTTACATAGATAATTTTATTTCCTACTGAATTTACTGTATTTTGTCCATTTTTATAAAGAAATAAACCATAAACCAAAATTTCTATTTTTTGTCAAAGTTTCACCCTCGGTTTCACCTATTCAAGGTAAAAGCGAGAGTTATGGAAATCCTTAACTCCCTTGGGAGTTATGATATCTTTAACTCCCTTGGGAGTTAAGACCCTGTTTATGATTATCGTAACCAAGGTATTATATGGTTATTATAGTTCAGTAGGAAATAAACAAAATTAAATGTTTGTAATATTTTACTTACAGTTGGATATCTAACAGTTTTCGATCCAGGAAAAGAGTTAGGTCTATCGGAAGCTTTTCCTGCGGCTAGCACAGCGCTGGTCTGAAACCACGGAAAGTTGAGAATTCCCACTTCAGAATCGTTGAAAGTAGCATACAGAAGATGCGATCCGTCATAAGATGCCCATAGAGCTTCCTGACGTTGAATTATTTCCTCTAAAAGCAGAGACGAATATTATAGTCTAGGGGGCAGTGACGATTTTCGGTACTTATTTTCCCAGTCACAAAACATAATAATATGTAGAATTGTAGGGTCAGTAATTGTAAGCAAAATTCATATACATTCAGGGAGGGGGGGTTTTCCAATGGGTTGAGGCGGAAAATGCGTCAGAACAAATCCAGGACCCTTTTTTTCCAGTGATAAAAATAGTTCTACTAGTAAAAGCCAGTGAGAGGTATATTGAAATTACGTAGAAAAATAGCCTGTCTAATCTGTGAAGATTGTTAATACCTACGTCTGGCAAGTGAAAACTTTCATCGAAAAAATTTCCCTCATTTTCGCAGTCATGAAAATTCATCTGATGATGGCCTATATTATAATGTCAGCTTAAAACACAATCTGGCGAATGTGGAACACTCCGAAGCCTTGCCAGACTCATCGAATGATCGTCAGGCGCGCTTAATTCGATTCGATTATACAGGTTATTAGTCACATGTACATGTTTTTATTGTGAGAACATTAAGCAATTAGATACAAAATAGCAAATTAACTGTATAGAGTACAGAAATGTACAGGGTTATTCACTATATTTTGACCCCCTACCTGCAGCCTTTACCTTTACAGGTAGATGATAGGTGTGAATACAAAAGTTGTGCAGTTTTAGCAAAATTTTTAGAATCCATCGTCAGAAACGGAAAATTATTGTCAGAAATCTGAAATTTTGTGTACTTTCAATTTTTTTCAAATATCCTATATTTGATTCTATATTTTCGAAGAGCACAATTTCCGATTCCAAAAATATATAGTTTGCCTATATTTGGTTGACCGTCTCCGACATATTTGGCTCTAAAAATTGTAAAAATACTATTCTATTGACTTTGTGAACCATTCATTCTACGTGTAAAACTATATATTTCTGAAATCGGAAAATTGTGCTCTTGACAGCACATGACAAGTGAGGGAAATACGATAAATGCAACTTGCGTGCGCAATTGCTCAGAGGTCTAGATTTCAGTATTTTGGAGGATACAGTACTATGGTCGAAATGACAGTTCGTGATTGTAAGTGACAGCCAGACGTGTATTTTCTGTAAAACTATAGTATAAATTATCGTGTGACGTTCAACTTGGAAAAATAAGGGCAAACATTTTCTCTTTTCCCGATTTTGAACATGCCGCCAGACTCATTTGCCAATTTTATAAATTATCCAGATTTACTTTTAATTACAGTTTATGATTGTATCAATTTATATGCTAAATTTCAAGCTTGGAAAAATAAGGGTTACTGATCCACAAAATCAGTAAAATTTTTGCATCCGAAAATTTTCAGCCAGACTCACATTCCGTGACTTAAGATAAGCCAGACTGCTATTCTCATATAATTTATGTTCTATTTTAGTAAATGTGGAATAATTATGACTGGAAAAATAGGTGTACTTGTATTTTTCATTTATCTTGTGAACCCATCCAAAAATTTCGGCCAGACTAAAAAATTTTTGCTTTGTGTCACTAAAAAATAGTATATTGTTTAAAACGAGTGACGAAAACAGTATTTTTAACAACGAGAAAACAGTTTACCAAACGAGGCGAAGCCGAGTTTAGTAATGTTTTCAAGTTGCAAAAATGATTTTTGACGAGTAACACACTATACTTTTCCTATGACCATGTTTTGGTTTTTGCTGTGCAACTAATATTTTTTCCACAAGGGTTCCTACTTGGTTGGATGATGCTTGAAAACGTGACTGACCTTTAACGTGAATGAATCAAGGCGCCATCTATCGAAAGTTCTCGTTTTTGCAATAATTTTATAACTATATTTTGCTTTTATTAAATTATATGAGGCAAAATTTAAATAATTTTGTGATCAATTATGTTTTTTCATTGTGCTGACTTTCGTCACTAGTGACAAAAGTTAACGTTATGGGATATTCTATTACTAGTGACGAAAATGATGTTTTCGTCTAAGGTAAAATATGACGAAAGTTGTATATTTTTCAATGGTCATAGAAAAACAAACTATTTATTATGCACCAACTAGGAAAATAAGTGCTAAAAAATTTCACTGACTCCTGCACTATTATTTTTGAACGAATGTTCTGAAAAGTTGTCAATTTTTATCTCAAATCTAAAGTACACCTTCAGGCCGCAGGTGTTGCAACAAGTTACTGCCTCTGGCAGGTTGATATATGAATTACATCACAGGGTGGAACGAAAAACGTTTTGCAAGGCGTCAACTTAATCGTTGCGGAAAATTGATCTAGCATGCATACATCGTCGGAAAGTTTAGTTAGGAATATAAAGTTAGTTTGTTTTTCAGGATGCATATATTTTTTACCTTGATATAACCAGTCGGGTATTCCATTAAATATAACATCTGGTTGACCAGAAAACGTAAGTCTTGTATCAGTCTCATCTTCAGGAGAGCTCCTGTGGTAAATATCGTTGTTGAAGACTATAAGCAACGAAGTAGTATCACCTAGCCAGCTCACATATTGCAGCCTTTCAGGTTGGGCTTTTGGTGAGGATTCCAATCGGACAGGTATATGATGACTAAAACAAAAATTTAAACAATTAAACCTTATACCAATAATCCCCTTGGAAAAAATATGTAAAACAGTTAGTTTATATTCTTCTGTGACCGGAAATAAACTTTCGTGTAAAAAAGCTAATTAACTCTCGCCATCGTCACGCTCAGGCAAATCCAAACATTGAAATATACCGTGAGAAGAGTGGGAATTCAGGTCAACTTTATGCGATTCTTTGTTTTAGCACGCGACGACATCTCATCCGCTGCCATAAATTCTGGCTAAAGATACCTTTTACGTGGACAGGGTTTAATTTAAAATCCGTTGGTATCATAAATAAGAAAATGCCAGAGAGAAATAGTGAGTATTAAGTGAATAAAATTAAAAAAAAAATTGTTATGTTTGTCGTTAGCAATTTTTTAATATGCAGAGGTCTTTATTTTTTAGATGTGCTGATGTTTTAAAGTTAAATAATTACAAAAAATGACGTAATAACACTTATTATTACCAATAAACTAAAATTTGAGGACGTGTTATATACAGGGTGAGTTCTTTAAAGTGTTACAAATGGGATATCTCGAAAACGGTTGCAAATGTTTTCATGACGTAGTAAGTACAGGGGAAATATATTTTACGATATTTTTGATATTTTTTTCTCTACCCTATATTAAAGGGTGGTGGGCAACTTTGAAATTTCAAGTAGAATGCTATGTTTTTTATTCCAAAATACAAATTTACGTAAAAAATGAACCTTCGTGCAAAAAAAAAAATTCTAATTGCTTCAAGTACTGCTTACGGAATTGTGTCTAATTGTAATTATGTTAATACAGTAAAAAACTTATTTACAGTGAAATTATTAAAATAATGGTTGCAGGTCATCAATGATGTCGAAATTATTGCCAATCGTAATTCGTAAGAAATTAAAATTGCTTTTAAACTCAGAGTGCATTTTCTCTTTTGTTTAACCCTAGTTAAAAAGAGATAGAATGCTGTCGGATCATATAACCGAATTTACCGATAAAATGGGATTTAGGTTGGCACTCGTGGGTAATGTTGCCACTAGTTGCCGTCTGCAAATCTTTGGTTATTGATTTTAATATTTTGAGGTTTGTTGTCACTGTTGTCAGATTCTAACGAGTCGGGGATTGATAGTTGAGATATAATTTAATTTTGCTATAAAATTGTATCAGTGGAATTTCGTTGAATTTTCAAACTGGCGGTAGCTGAAAACCCAAGTTTTCGCTAGTGCATGCGGTATTCTGAGCGATGCTAGTATTAGGCATTCCAATAAGCACTAAAGGGAACTACACTATAAAGCATCCTGGTCTATATCCATTTTGGAGGTTCCAGAATACAAATAGGAGATTTTAGGCTGCAGCTACAATTCAACATAACAAAAATGAGCGAAAATACAAGAAAAGTAACACAGACTATTGAAAACTTTGAGAAGTTGTGCGAACAAGCAAACAAATTATCGACAGAAACTCAGTGCAATTAACTAAGCCATCATCTATGACAAAAAGAAAGTGAAATGCAACTAACAAAAAATAGCCTGCCGTCACTCCGTGTTCAATTTCTCACATCAGTGTTCGGAGTAAATGATGAAGCATGCAGAGACATTGATAGTTTACAAGAGAATCAAGAAGAGTTAATAAGAGCCTGAAAGCATAAGACGAAGCTCATGATATCCGTCATGTCAACCGTCAACGGTACAGAAATGAAAATAGAAAATCAGCTACGAAAATTTCAGGAAAAGCTTAACAAAGGGCTCAGTGCAATCTGCAATTAACAACATGCAAACATATATGGGTACCCATAAATCCGCAGATATCAACGCACTCAACATCCACATCACAATTTCATATCAGTTGGCCTCAAATTTCATAGCCGAGGTGATCAGCCATTACTCCAGAGTATTTGAATATCATACGAGAAAACATCTATTTACAAACTACTATCACCATTTCATATGACATTAATCATAAAAAAAGGCAAACCAGAAGCTTCCGTCCGACCTAAGAATTTGGCATATCCTCCGACCGCGGAGGAGACCGAAGGGCAATGGATAAAAATATATGCCTATTTTCCCATTGAGGATATCTCAGAGTTTACACTACTCAAAGCAAAAATGGGACCTATTGGAAAATGGACATCAAAAATAACATCTTGACTATTGACTTTAATAACCAGCAATATTTTCAATTAACGCACAACGCAATGAAATCATGCATTCCAGGAAAAACTACATATGTCTGTGCACCACCAGCAGTGAAAAATATGGAAACAAGTCCTAGCTGTATAATACATAGAAAAGTGATTTATAAATTCTTAAATAGAACATTCACTGGATTCATCCCCGCCACTTTTTGTTTTAGTTCGTGACTACACCGCTGTGCGCCCATATCGCCGTTTCTTAACGTCCCCCTCATTCCTTATTCTAATCTCTGACTTCACCGATAAATTAGGTATCTTTGTTTAGTGAATAGAAAATGACAATGACCGACATAGAATCGTCGTGTATATAAAAACCAGTCATAAAAACGCAGGTATCCATTTAATATCATAATGCAAATGTCATCTTGTCTTCTGAATTAATTTGTTGAGTGCATTGTCAATGATTGTTTTGAATTCCAAGACTGTGAAAGAAATGATAAGTGCATCATCATAAGCAGCCGGTTTAAGAGTTGTTGCCACAGTGTGTGACCAGGCGGCAAAAAATGAATAGACCAAAAGCGAATTGCAACCACAAACCAGGGAAATCTACATCAAAAACAACACAGAAAGAGAAATTTTGGTTTTGTTGGAAATAAACAACCTAGAAATCGTATCACTGTATGATGCTCCATACATGCTCGAGGGAATTATAAATAACTTGATCAAATATGACAGCCTTTTAACTGGAAAAAAATGGACATTTTCAAAAAGCAGATCGAAAAGTGCTCCAGTCAGCTCATGAGTCAGATACGCCAGATCATCTATGAATAGATTATAAACTATTTTATTCTTTCAGTGATTCTCACATAAATATATGAAAATAAAATGTATAAAATTTTAGTTTATGAAGTTTTGAAGCACTGCCTTATTTTGAAATAATTGAAATGTCAAACCAGCCATTTGAGACCGAAATTCAAACGGCCCGCCAAATATTAGTTCAATGACTACACCGCTATGGCAGCACCGTCGGAAATGTCACTTGGCGACTACAACAGGAGTGAGCGTTCTATATCAGGAATATAAATCACTTTTCTATGGTATGGCGAAGTTCGTTTTTGTCATCTTTTTCGTTGATTTGCTCTGAAATTTTGACAGGCACGTGACTGGATCAGAGAGTTTCAATTTACAAATCACGTGCCTGTCAAAATTTCGGACGAAAAAGATGACAAAAACGAACTCGGCCTATAATAGATGACATATATCAGCGTCATCAAAGCAAAAAATGCGAGATCAGGAGATGCACTTTGACTGGAATAAATTGGATTCAATTATACACACCAAATAGTTGGATGTACATCATGCCAAAGCCTACCAGTTAGCAATCACATGCAACGGAAACCGGCAAGAAGTTTTATTAAACACTACCAGTATCATCGCTAAATGACAGAAGATTGCATTATACAAACAAAACAAAAAACAATCAGACCCAAGCGACTTGATACAGTACCGGTCGTGTCGAGTTATTCGAAGGCATCAGCATTTGACATCGACCTCACAACAAACACATAACACGATTTAAACCTGTCAGTCAGCAGTTTCGAAAAAGAGCCAATGTTTCCATACAAAATGACCTGATTCACCTCAAGGTAGGAGAGCAACAATTAGGTCAACGACTGGAAACTACAATATGGAGGAGAGTGAAATACCATTCGTACGTCACAAGTTCAACGATGGTGATTATGGCAATCAGCATCAGCATCAGCATAATGGTATGGGTCATAATAATATGTTATGCAAAACGTCGTTCCAGAAGAACTACTATACCGACAAAACCCAGCGACGAAAACATGTTTGAGTTAACTCCATTTCAAGAAGTGTCCCCCTCACAAACAGCGAGAGAGGGGAGCATGTTTAATCGACGGGTTAGCATAAAGAAAAAAATCACCTTTAAAGCCTAAAAAGTTCCACAAAATAGATAGTTATAATATTAAAAGTGTTACGATAAATTTATCATTTACGTAACATGTTCCATCTCTTCTAATTTTCATTTTAAAGTTGTATTTTTGCTGTTTTAGCATCGGCAGATAAATAAATCAAAACTTAAGGCCGCGTTAATGGCCACCATGTTTAAATTTAGTTTTTGAAAATGACCACTGTGTCACTCTACACGTATACGGTTCAATATTTTATTTTTTGTCCAAAACAAAATCTGTTTGTCGGTGAAACACTTACCTTGGTTTCCACCAACCATTTTAGGGGAGCTCTAACGATAAGTATTCCCTAAAATGACATTTTCACATGGAGAAATGTCAGTTTAAGGCGAGGTTTAAGGCATACCTATCGTTAGGGCTTCCCTAAAATAGTTGGTGGAAATGGCTATCAGTGACAGAGAAAGACAAATATACAATAATTATGATGCTCCCAATGTAGCTTTTTTGCCGTGGCGCCATCTACTTGAAACTGCTTGAACTGTTTTCACTTTTAAAATTCGTTTTAAGGTCATCTCAAAAAATCCGAAATAATTTCCAAATTCCTTTGGCATAAACAATATTTGAATATATTATCTACAATCTCTACAATTAGCTTTGTTAGTTTTTCCTGGTTATCAATAAAATATGCTTTTCACGGATCCAAGCTTGATAAACATGCAACCACCAACACATTTAATTGTTTTGGTGGTTGCGAACATGATTTTTGAATTTAAAAAAAGGCTGAATATCGAAAAACCAAAATAAGGAATTGTAGATAATCGATCAAATAATGTTTATGCCAAATTTGAGCCACTTCTGATGTGCCGTTTTTTTAAAGACCTTAAAACAAGTTTCGAAAAATAAAACAATCTCAGTTTAAACATGGCGGCCATTAACACGG